GATTCTTGTTGGTCGGACTGAGCCCAGTGGACGCAGCACCGGCCACATTACCCCCTCCATTTCCCCCACCGCCTGAAACATTATCCCTCAGTTTCTGCCACATTTCATCCCCCACCACGCAGTGGGTGGATTCAGTGAATGTGAACGCCTCGAAGGGGACCCCCGCTGCTGCACGATTTTTCTGTACGCTGTTTAACGAGTTTTTAATATTGCTTGAAAAGTACTGTAGCTGCTGTATCTGTTGCGGGGTGCACTTTTTGAGGTGCGAGCCCAGGCAGCGCACGAGGGGGTTCGCTTTGCCCTTCGCCTTTGGCGACATGGCGATGGCGACGGCCTTGTAGTCCACTAGCGAATTCACGACGAACATTGGCGATTTCACGAACTTGAGGTTGTATTCGGGGAAGAAACACTTCCACGTCGAGCCGCTCGGCTCCATGGCTGTTGAATGCGAGGGGAGACGAGGGGAAAGAGAAAGGGGAGGGCGAAACGGCGAGGGAGCATAGGAAGCAGGCAAAGAAGAGAGTGAGTCGTTGGTCTGGCCTCGGGGGGGAAGGAGATAGCGCACTTTTCACTCACACAACTTCACTGCTATAATCCACATCATCACACCACTCACCGTCCTTGCGTCGCCCCATTAATTTCAATGCGGTCGATATCGTGCAGCCCCGCCGACCGTTGAACCTTCTGTGGTCACATTGTCACACCCCATACAAGCACGCTCCATACAATCACTCAATCACTCACCGTCCTTGCAGTCGCCGTTGATTCCAATGCGGTCAATATCGTGCAGCTCTGCCAGCCGCTGCACCTTCTCTCGCAGGGATCGCTCTCCGTTCACGTCCACCACGTCTGCCACGCCGCGAATGAAAACACGAAGCAAAGAAGATGTTTAAAAAATTGTGGGAAACCCCCAGAAAATACCCGACAAAAACCGGGGAGACGGTCGCAGGGTCAAACCGTGCTCCAGGATTAAAAAAAAATAAATAAAAAAACAATAAAAAGGCCAATAATTTTTCCTAGAAACAGTCGACGGTATATGAAGCCTACCTGGGAAGAACCCGCCATCCATGAAGCACTTGGTACTAATGCCATAGTCCTTGAGCCACGTGGCGATCTGGTCGCACTTGATCGACACCGCTACTGCCCCCGCGCTACATCCCCCACCAGCACCTCCTGCCCGTGGTTGAGGTTCTTCGTCTCCAGAAGATCTGTTGTGGAGGGTAGGATAGGGAAAGGAATGGGGTTTAAATCTCTTGGGTTTAGGAAGATCTCTTGTGTTTAGAAATCTCCCCCCCGCTGCAGCCCCCCCCAGCAGTACCCGCCAGGCCCGTGGGTCAGGTTCTTCGTCTCCAGAAGATCCGAATTGAAGGGCGCAAGGGAAAGCCTAGAGCCTTGAGGGGTGCTTCTAAACATTCCCCGCGCTGCAGCCCCCCACCCAGGCCCCTCCTGCCCGTGGTTCACATTCTGAGTCTCCAGAAGATCTGTTGTGGAGGATGGGATAGGGAAAGGAATGGGGTTTAAATCTCTTGGGTTTAGGAAGATCTCTTGGGTTTAGAAATCTCTCCCCCGCTGCAGCCCCCCACCCAGGCCCCTCCTGCCCGTGGGTCAGGTTCTGAGTCTCCAGACGATCTGTTGTGGAGGAGAGGAAGGGGAGGGGGAGGGGGAGGGGGTGGGTGGGTGGGTGGGGGGGGGAAGCAGATCTGGTTCGGATTCCCATGTGTCCGCATTCACCCCCATGCTCTTTCGATGCTCACCTTGCAGCACGCCGTTGAGATTCCAGTGCCCCCGGTAGTAGAGCGTCTTGCCCGTCTCCTCCGTCTTGTTCTTCCGGCCCGACCCGCCCGTGAAGGAGCTGCCGTCGCAGTACTTGACGAGCACCACGTTCCAGTTGTAAAAACCCGGGTTGATCCCCGCGTCCGCGCTCGCCACTCCGCCGAAATGCACGTCCTGCGGGAGAGATCGGGGGAAAGAAGGGGAGAGAGAGGGGGGAAGGCGAAAGAGAGGGAAGGGGAGAGTGTTGGAGGGAAGGCGGAGGAAGATTGAAGAAGCGTTTCGAGCCGCCTCTATAGTCGCGTGAACGGGTCCTAGTACCGGCATCTACTCGAAACTCGCAAGCCGTATGAGACACCGGAATAACTAGACACGGCAATGTGCCAAACATTGCTTGATAGCAGTCTCACGCATTGCTTAATGTGCCTAAGTCTAACTCAGGCATTGCTTTCACTCACGCTGACGGACGGCCAGTTTATGGAGCTCCCGAGGTCCGTCTTCGCCCGGTTGGCGCACTGGCGCGGACTGAAGCACCACCCGCCGCCCTGGGGGAAGGGGGAACGAGGGGGGCGGGGGATGGGGGGATGGGGGAGGGAGTAGAAGACACTGTATAAGAATCCTTGGGAAAATGCCGCGCGAGGGGAAAAGACCTCTGTTGGGGTGAAGCCACCGAGGCCAAAGAGAGCGAGTATAGAGCGGTTGTCCAAGGGAGTCTATCGCGCGCAACTGCCTCTGTTTTCGCGCTCACCTCGAGAAAGAGGATCCACTTGTTGGCACCCGTGCCGTAACCCTCGCGAAGGTAGTAACCCGGCATGCTGCGAAAACAGCGACGAGGGGCAGAAACGAAGATTGAGGATGGAAAAACAGCAAGGCGAAGTGGGTCATTGAAAAGAATGAAGGGTTGACGCAAAATCTCTAATGTAAAAAAAACCTGCATCTAGAAGAGCCTTTAGAGTGACTTGCACTCTTACCTCCCAATTTCTTAGGCGCCTAAAAAATTGCACTCGCGTCTTCGTGTTGGACTTCGTCCTCGCGTCTGCTCCTTTCGACAGCATGTAAAGCGCGCTACTGGGACAACTCCTTTCTTTGCTCATCTGTATTTGGATTAAGTATGCTGGGATAAGTCTTTCACGCTTACCTCCCGTCCAAGCACCGCCCTCGTGTCTGGTCCTTCGACAGCATGTGAAGCCGCGCGACGGGGCCGTCAATAACGGACGCCGCGCCTGCTCCTGATTTGGAGCTCGAGCCACCGCCGCCGCCGCTCCCGCTCAGGTCGCCGCGCGGTTTGAAGTTTTCCAGCGCCGAGGCGAGCAACGAGCGCGGCAGCGCGGGATTCACGGACGCCGAAGCGAGGACTAAAGAGAGCGCGAAGGGCGCAAGAATGAGTGCGAGGCTCAGAAGAGAGGCTTTGCGGTAGGGACACCGCCGGACTCGACTACTCTCGTGGTGGCTTCGCGCCATTGTCTAGTTAACTACGTGGCAGGACCAGTCTGCTATTTGAGCACGCTAAGGAGATCGGCCTGGAAACGATTCACGGAATTATGGAAAAACTGTGGGGGAAACGATAGGGAATGAATACGAGAAGGTGGTCTCTGATTTTCCAGAATGACCTTTTTCTCCTGGTCGTCGTTCGCCTAACGGATAGATGATGCACTCTAAAACGTGTTCTGGTTCTTATGCCTAGGTCTAGTCCAGATCCTATGGCCTTGTAAGTTGCTCGCTCCTCTTCCACGATTGACGACGAAGCCAAGTACATCCAGATGCCATTCACCGGATCAGCCCAGTCCAGTAAATGACTGTTTTCGGGTCTCGAAGCGCAGTCGCCACGCTCATGCTTAGAGGGCCGTTATCACCACACGATAGCAGGAGAGCACTTCAAAAGATACAACCTAACAGTATCCTTGCTACGGCGAGCGCAGGAAGCCCCTCCATATGGCTGGATTCGTGAGACTCTGCGAGGGAGGGAAGTCGAATTGGCATGCGACATTTTGGCTTTGTTGGGTACTTTCCGTGTCGCCAACGCGCTACGCGCCTTCGCCAGAATGAGCGGGAGACACGGTGGGATCGCGTACCGCGCGAAATCCATTTTGCAAGGGGGCTGATTCGCTACAGCCAGTATTTCGCAAAACAACTGTGATCTTGTTTTTAATTCACATTCGATATTACGTATCATCACGAAAACACATTCACCTTAGTCATAAGGCAAGGAACCTAATTTCTTCCATATGATCATGGAGCAAGAAGCTGTAATATTTGACAGGTGTTGCAGGAGACTAACTATAGAATCTGCAAACAAGAACACTTGGAAAACCTCAAGTGTTAGCCTAGGATCTTTACTGGAATGGTAGACTAGTAAGATAGCGGAAGTCTTATAAGAGTGAACCTGAGTATATGTTTCTGCAGAAGTTAAAGCGAGAGGTTATAATAGTGACCCATCTTTCTAGTTGGGCCCAACTTGATTGGGCACAACAACCTGCGACCTGTGACAGCTCGCAAACCCGGTGCTACAAATCTCCCAGCCAATCGTGTGCTTGCGCCTGCTCCCTCTGAACAGCGTGCCTGCGTTGTGGAACTGCCTTGGTTCTGCCGAGTGAGGCTAACAACCCCTTAGAAAAAATCGAGGGTCCCTTGGTTTCAAGTTGGACTCGCCTTCACTATTTTAGCCCCTCGCTTTAAATCTCAAAGTTCTCAAAGTTGAAATCTCAAGGTTAATAATAAAAAGGACAGGACAAAGATTTATAGCTCTAGGAAAGTACCTATTCGCTAATGAACCTGTTCGTCACTATCGCGCTATGCGCCCTAGACGATAATGAAGGGGTGCGACTATTCGCGTGACTGAACGACTGTCCAATGACGAGCGCTATTTGCTGACGTCATCCTACGGACTTATATTTTACAGTAGGATTCGGCACTATCTATCGATAAACGACTTACATAAATGTGAAGTATGAAATATACCACAACATTCCCCTTCATTTCTGGAAGTCCGATAGAGTCACGTCTTGAAGATCCTGCAAAGCTTGTTGCATTATTGAAACTTCTGTCGTGTCAGCTTCTTCGTGAGGAAATCGGCAGCCATTTCGTTGGTCGAACAATAGACCAATCGCATCCTCTGTTAAATTATATATTGAGTTATATAATTGTTAGGCTTGGTAGGTTACCGAACTTTACTGTAGAGGGTACAATCCCCTCCTTGTATGCCTCTCTTTCTATTCCAACTCTCTTTTCTCTCCTCAACTTTTCTCCTTCCTAAACCTCACGCCACTTCATGGCTCCTCCTAGCTAAACCTCATGCCTTTCCTAGCTTCCTAGCTAAGCTAGCCTTCTAGGTCGTCCCACCGTCGCGGGGCCTGGCCACGTCACCGAGAGGTGCGGGCGCCGCCGCCGCCGCCGCTGTTGTCGAAGCCGCCGCCGTCGCCGCTGTCGTCGCTTGCGTCGGGGCCACGCAGCCGCACTCCGCCGCCGCCGCCGCTGTCGACACTGCCGCCGCTGCCGCCGTCGTCGCCGCAGCCCCTGCGGTCGACATCGCCGCCTCACGCGCCGAGGGGTCGACCGAGCTAGTGTCGCTGTCACTGTGGCTGGAATGGGGGTGCTAGGTTAGGGGGTGTGGGGGTGTGTGTGGGCTTGTGACTACCAAGCCTAGAGGGTGTGTTAAATAATATATTGAGTTATATAATTGTTAGGCTTGGTAGGTTACCGAACTTTACTGTAGAGGGTACAATCCCCTCCTTGTATGCCTCTCTTTCTATTCCAACTCTCTTTTCTCTCCTCAACTTTTCTCCTTCCTAAACCTCACGCCACTTCATGGCTCCTCCTAGCTAAACCTCATGCCTTTCCTAGCTTCCTAGCTAAGCTAGCCTTCTAGGTCGTCCCACCGTCGCGGGGCCTGGCCACGTCACCGAGAGGTGCGGGCGCCGCCGCCGCCGCCGCTGTTGTCGAAGCCGCCGCCGTCGCCGCTGTCGTCGCTTGCGTCGGGGCCACGCAGCCGCACTCCGCCGCCGCCGCCGCTGTCGACACTGCCGCCGCTGCCGCCGTCGTCGCCGCAGCCCCTGCGGTCGACATCGCCGCCTCACGCGCCGAGGGGTCGACCGAGCTAGTGTCGCTGTCACTGTGGCTGGAATGGGGGTGCTAGGTTAGGGGGTGTGGGGGTGTGTGTGGGCTTGTGACTACCAAGCCTAGAGGGTGTGTTAAATAATATATTGAGTTATATAATTGTTAGGCTTGGTAGGTTACCGAACTTTACTGTAGAGGGTACAATCCCCTCCTTGTATGCCTCTCTCTTTCTATTCCAACTCTCTTTTCTCTCCTCAACTTTTCTCCTTCCTAAACCTCACGCCACTTCATGGCTCCTCCTAGCTAGACCTCATGCCTTTCCTAGCTTCCTAGCTAAGCTAGCCTTCTAACATCCTCCCCTTCTCGACTTCATCCTTGACGAAAAAGTAACGCAGAGAAATATGTTTCGTCCTGTTGACGAAACCAGGCTGGTGCGCGATGCGAATTGCACTTTGGTTGTCGCACTGCAGGGTAAATTGGGTAGTCGTCGTCAACTTCGCTTCTTCCAATAGTTCCTGCAGGTAAAGTCCTTCGCGTGTTGCTGTGCAGACAGCGATGAACTCAGCTTTAGTAGAGGAGAGAGCAATCAACTCATGCTTCGTCGAATTCCAAGAAATAGGTCCGATAGGTTCAAGCCGGTACATAAATCCAGTGCGTGACCGTCGATTAGTAGAGTCAGCAGCGTGATCGGCGTCGATGAAACCGTGTAGGTATAGTGTTTTGCAATCGATGACGTTGTAGACTAAATCGACGTCAGGTGTCGAGATGAAATACTGAAGCGCACGAAGATGATCGAGTTGATGTTCTTCTTCAGGTCGGCATAGGAACTGAGCGAGCTGACTGGCCGCGTAAGCTAGATCGGGACGACAAGTGACAGCGGCAAAGAGTAGACAGCCTAACTGCAGTTGATAGATCTGTAAACCGATTGAATTTAACAGTGCAGTGTTCGGTTTATGATTAGTCGGTAGTGAGCGGTACGGTGTAGAGACTGTAGTAGGGGTGAGGTTGAAGCGGGCAGCGAGCGTCGCTGCGTACTTCGAAGCGGTGAGATGAATAGACATCGGTGAACAGGTAATGTTTAGACCGAGAAACTGTGAGACTATTTCGGAGACGGTAAGCTGTAGATTTTTCTGTAGTTTCAGTATGAAGGTATCGGCAAGAGAATCGGTAGTACTGACGTAGAGGATATCGTCAACGTAGGCGACGAGTAAAATATAGTTGCTGCCGTCAGTCAGAAGATACATTCCCTGGTCAAGCAGTAGCTGACAAAATCCGGCAGTGATCGGCTATGCGTGAAGATACTGCTGCCAGAGCCGTGGTGCCTGTTTAATGCCATATAGCGATTTTCAGAGACGGCATACGCTCGGAGGGTTAGTAGCATAGGAATGCAGGTACTCTACCAGTATGAGTGCGTCGACGAGCGCGTAGAAAAACACATTTGACACGTCGATTTGTCGAAGTCGTAGATTACGGCAGGCGGCGATACAGAGTAAAATCCGAACGCTTGTATGTCGACCGACAGGAGCAAAATTTAGTTCGTAGTCGATGCCGTAAGTCTGCTCGAACCCGCGGACGACCCATCGCGCCTTGAATTTCTCAAACGACCCATCTGCATTAGTCTTGACGCGGAAGACCCATTTTTTGGTAAGTACCTTCTTCCCTTTTACTTCTGATGTCGGTATTAAATCCCATGTGCCACGATTCTTGAGAGCTGCTAGCTCCTTGTTCATGGCTTCGCGCCATTATTCTCGGTGAGGACTCGTAAGAGCTTGTCGAACGGTTTTTGGTTCAGGTATCTTACTGTCGTTGTGCTGTACTGCGACTGCGAATCCCTGTATCTGTAATCCAGTTTCTGTAAAACGTGGACGTTCTTCGTTTGCATCTGCGAAATTGTCTTCTGGTCCTTCTTTCCCCCCGATTTCGTCAGGTGTAACACGAACTGCTTCGTCAGAAACGGTGGGCATCGGCTGCTGTTGGCGATCGCGTTCGTAACTGAGGTGGACTTCGCGAACATCATCCTGGTCAGCATCTGCAAGAGGAATAAATTCCGGTATGCCGGTCGAAGTGACAGGTTCGGGAATGTCTGTTGCGGCAGCTTCGGAAGCTTCAGAAACAGCCTCGTCCTGTACATCAGCTTCCGCTTCGTCAGTTGCAAATGCACGCGAGCCTTCGAACGGCCTGGCAGCCTGGTGGGCACAAAAAACGGGCAAGGTGAGTCTTTCATAGAAGAGACAATCACGTGATGGGACGATTTGGTTGGAGCGAAGATCCAAAATCTTCCATGCGTGATATTGTTTTTCGATGCCGAGGTGAACCCCCTCATTTTGCTCGTTCGGAAAATTTTCCGAGTGCTGCAGTTGGAGGATGAAACTGCACGACACACCCGAAAACTCGTAAAAGTTTGGTACTTCCCACTGTACGTGTCCACTGCGGGTGTGGAGAAGAGAACTCGGGCAGGGATGTTGAAGAAAGAAGGTTGTGTAACAGCACGGCGTGGTCCATCGCATACGGCCAAAAACGAGGAGGAAGAGCTGCCTGCGTCAGCAGAGCACGCATCTTCTCTTGCAGAGTTCGGTTCATGCTCTCTGCTATCCCCATCTGTTGGTGTGCATGCGGTAGTGACTGCTTCCGTTTGATGCAGAGGGTCTGAAGGTATTCTGTGAAAGTGTTTGTGGTGTACTCCCCTACACCAACACTCTGGAATTCTTGCAGTTTCACGCCAGACTCTCGTTCAGCGACGGCGAGCCATGCGACGAAGACAGAATGGGCGAGATATCGAGCGGGAAGGTTTGCTGTCCAAACGTAGCGAGTAGATGCTTCGATGAATGTTATTACGTACTGCTCCTCCTTAGGTCCTGCTTCAGGTAAGTTTAGTATGTCGCTGTAAACTTTCTGCATCAGTTTATATCGTGTTGAGCCAAGAAAATGACTTGGAAACGGGTCGTGGGTAAGATTGGCGACTGGGCACGTGGTGCAAGTCGTCGGACGAGTCTGTGGCTTCATCTCTGTGCCGTCAGGTAAGAGAAGACAGTTTTTATCAAGAACTGCTTCTCGGATTGAATGATTAAGAATCCCTTGTTATGGATGTCCTAACCGCTGATGCCATAACAACATGTTATGGATGTCCTGATGATCGCAGGTAGAAATCGGCGTTAGTTTGAAATGAAGAAATAATTAAAGGAGAAAGCGCTGGTGACCTGTCAATCTCCCCTTCGACGAAACATGTAAGTTGTAACGGAACATTTGAAGGTGCTGCTACAGTTGCGATTACAACTTTTGATGCTGCTTCTGTTGATGTTGTAGCAGGTGTTTCTGCGACAGCTACTGTTGGACATGGCTGCTCGGCGACTGCTTCCTTTTCGGCTTCTTCAAAGACGTTAGGTTCATCAGCTGCAAGTCCGCTAATTTCTCCCCAATGTGGAGCTGAAGTCCCTTGAAGAGCCTCACGGGTTGTATAAAACGTTCGCCAAGCATTGGCGCCTTCATCGGCTATATTGAACTCCCAAGTATCCAGTGCGGTAAGTACAGCAGCTGCAGTTCGAGAAGCCGTTGGTACAGTAGTTGCTCGAAAATCAATATCCACGAACTGATAATCTGTTTCTTCTGGATGATCCCAGGGACCAAGGGCGAGGACGCGTTCAGAATCACCAGAAGTTCCCCGTGCCGCGAACTGAAGAACGGATACGCCATGTTGAATGGCGGCACGACCGAGGTAAGTATTTGATAAACTGTGCCATAACTCCTGATCCATTGTATCACAGTTGCCTTGCGTGCGTATTTCGTGTGCCAAGAGCTGAGCCGTGGAGAGAAGATTGAAGCCAAGGCCAGCGACGATAAGAGCATTGGTAACGTGGAGTGAATATCCCATGTCGACTTATTCGAGCATCACACTTCCAATGGATCTTGCCATAATAGTTTGTCCGTTTGCAACAGTGACAGGTATCGGACGACGAAGCGGTCGCTGGTTGGTGATGAAGCTTGTCTCAGCGGAACACATGTGCCAATCGCAGCAGCTGTCGAGATACCAAGTATTCGGGCCTGAAATTATTCGAGCAAGGTTAGCGTAAACTTGAGGTAAGGGAATGCCTTCAGCACTTGTGGTTTCTTCTAGTCGTGTCTCAAAATCTGTTTCTGAAACATCAACTGTGGTAACACATCCAAATACCCCTTTTCCTGATGTTGCAGATGCAAAAACCGGAGGACGATGCTGTGACGGCGACGGATTCTGCAGCGTTTTGGGCATCTGCTGCATTTGGATCGTCGACTGCTGCGTTGGCTGATGTGGCTTTGGTAACTGCTGTGAGCGATGATAAGGTTGTGAAGTGCTGCGTCAGTTTTGATGTCGACTGCAACAATTATGGTAAGTGTGTCCTGGTTTCTTGCAGAAATAGCAGAAGGGATATTTCGGGGGATGACGATGTTGCGATTCTGGCTTTGAGTAAAAACTCAAGTGTATCCCCTTTTTTTTATTGCGTTGTGACTGCACATCCAGATCTTGAAGATACGAAGAAATCTCAGCTTCGGAGAGATTTGGATTCATGCGCAGGAAGGCGCGTGTCTGTCGCCATTCAGGTCCAAGGCCAGCAAGAAGGACAGCGAGATACATCTCACGAGGAAAGTATCCCCCACTTTTCTCCAGTTGATCACGTAGTGTACGGACGCGGTTGACGTAATCCATGACGTTTTCATTTGTCATCATCTGCACACTTGTCAACTGCGAAAGAATCTTACTCACTGTTATTGTATCTTTTGCCATGTATACCCCCTTCAAGTAGTTCCATGCAGTTTCAGCGGGTGTAAAGCTTTTATGAAACGATCGGACGCCGAGTTGCTCCTTCGGCGACAGATTCCGAACAAGAACTGTATACACTCCAAGAGAGGTGTGTAAGAAACACTGCTGCTCCAATTGTGTTCCCACGACAGGATAAGTAAACTCGCCGATGAAGAACGGCCATAGCCCAACGGACTGTGCAAGAAGCTCAAACTCGAAACTCCAGGAGTAAAAATCTACTCCGTAAAAAGGTATGGTTGTCTTAATCTGTATACTGTTAAGAAAATTTGGCGGTTGAAAAATAATACCCGGTTGTTGTGACTGTTGCTGTTGCTGCTATTGTTGTTGCTGTTGCTGCTGTTGCTGAAACTGTTGTGGCTGTTGTTGTTGTTGTTGTTGTTGCTGTTGCTGAGCAGGGGAACGACCCAAGATGTAAAACGGATGCTGCTGCTGGTGTTGTGACTGCGGCTGCTGCACAAAAGGTGAGAAAGCGAATGAACCAGAACTTGGAGCTGAGGCTCCACGCATATAACTCGAGCCGTCAAGGCTCATTCCACTGAACGCAGAAGATAAAGATTGAGTTGAAAACGGTGGTTGTGCTGGTGCCTGTTGCTGTACTCATGCTTGTTGTTGTGCTGTTGTCTGTGCTTGTTGCTGATGTGCTTCGGTTACCATCCGCGCTGTTGTAACGGTCAGTCGCAACCTCCAGTTGCGACCCTTCGAGTCCCTTCGCGTTCTTTGTCCGTTCCCTCGTGTAACCTCCGTTGACTCGCGTACCCGTTGCGATCTTCCTCGAGTGTAGTGTTACACTTCAGAAACGCTTAAGTCCTTTGAGATATTTCCAACACTCCCCTTCGTTTCTGGAGTGCTGACGTGTTCAGATCCGGTGACGTTTGTCTGCCCGGTCAGCAGCGTGCAGTAATCGAATTTTGCTTTCGCTAATTTCTTCGTCAGATAGTCTGCAGCCATTTCTGTCGTCGGGCAGTAGCTGAGTTGAAGTCTCCCCTTCGCGATTTCATCCTTGACGAAGAAGTACCGCAGGGCGATGTGCTTGGTTCGGTTGGCGAAGCCGTCCTTGTTCGCGATTTTGATCGCAGATTGGTTGTCGCAGAGGAGTGAGAAGACGGGCAGGGTCGCGATCTTCGCTTCCTCGAGCAACTCTCGTAGGTAGAGTCCTTCCTTGGTCGCAGTGCAGAGGGCGATATATTCTGCTTCAGCCGAAGATAGTGCGATTAGTTCCTGTTTGCTCGACTGCCAGGAGATAGTCCCGATAGGTTCTAGTCGGTAGATGTAGCCCGTTCTCGATCGCCGATTTTCCCTGTCTCCTGCGTGGTCGGCGTCGACGTATCCGAGTAGTCGTACGGACGGTGTTGTTACTTTGCTGTAGGTAAGCCCGGTCGTCGGCGTGGAGACGAAGTAGAGTAGTGCCCGGTTGAGCTCCTCGAGATCTTCTTGTTCCGGCTGCTTCAGATGCGTCGCCGGTTGGCTCGCGCTATAAGAGAGATCGGGTCGGCAGGTTACTGCTGCGAATAGTAGGCAGCCGAGCTTCTGTTGATACTCCTGCATTTGCTTCGCGGGGAGTTTTGCGGAGGTGCTGTTGTTGTTCCCGTAGCGGTAGGGAGTTGGGACCGTAGTCGGCGTTAGACCGAATTTCTTCGCGACGGTGCCTGCGTACTTTCCAGCGTGTAGGTAGAACGCCGAGTTGTCTTCGACGACATTCAGTCCCAGGTACTGGGTCACTGCGTCGGACACCGTGAGTGTCAAGTCTTCTTTCAGCTCCCCTTCGAACCAGGTGGCGATGTCGGTAGTGGAGCCGATGTAGAGCAGGTCGTCGACGTAGACGATGAGAAGGATAAAGGCTCCTTCCTTCTGTAGTCGATACATGCCTTGGTCGTGCGGCAGTTGTAGGAAGCCGATTCTGACGAGGCGGCCGTGAAGATGCTGCTGCCACAGCCGCGGAGCTTGTTTGATCCCGTAGAGGGATTTTATCAGCTGGCATACTTTTGTAGGGTCGTCGATGAAACCGTGGGGCTGCTCGACGAAGATTTCGGCGTCCACAGGTGCGTACAGAAAAGCATTTGCGACATCGATTTGGCGCAGTGGTAGTTTCTTCGTGGCCGCGACGGCGAGTAGGATGCGCAGGGAGGTGTGACGGGAGACTGGGGCAAAAGTTTCTGTGTAGTCGGTTCCGTATCGTTGATCGAAGCCTCGTACGACCCATCGAGCTTTGAATCGTTCGATGGAGCCGTCTGCGTTGGTCTTGATGCGGTACACCCATTTTCCCGAGAGGATGTTCTTCCCGTTGATGCTTGTTGCAGGTAACAGCTTCCATGTATTTCGGTCTTGCAGAGCTTTTAGTTCCTTTTCCATCGCTTCCTTCCATTTCGCCTTATGTTCACCCCCCAGAGCCTGCGACAAAGTCGAGGGCTCGCGCGGAGATCAGTGGATCTGAACACGTCAGCACTCCAGAAACGAAGGGGAGTGTTGGAAATATCTCAAAGGACTTAAGCGTTTCTGAAGTGTAACACTACACTCGAGGAAGATCGCAACGGGTACGCGAGTCAACGGAGGTTACACGAGGGGGCGGACAAAGAACGCGAAGGGACTCGAAGGGTTGCAACTGGAGGTTGCAACTGACCGTTACAACAGCGCGGATGGTAACCGAAGCGACAATCGAGTCGCTGTGCGACTCGATAACCTTTCCTGCAACTGTATTCTACAACTGCTTTCTTATTTTCTATATATTGCTGTATGCTTGTTTCTTTAATCAATCACTTGTTCTCATATACTAGTACAAGGGTTCAACTGCCTCAACTTCCGCTGCACTACTCAAGTCTCATTCTACAACTGGGACTTAGTCTCTGGAAAGATCCTAAGGGTTTTTCTAAGAGTGAACCTGAGTATATGTTTCTGCAGAAGTTAAGTCTCAAAGTTCTCAAAGTTGAAATCTCAAGGTTAAGAATAAAAAGGACAGAACAAAGATTTATAGCTCTAGGAAAGTACCTATTCGCTAATGTACCTGTTCGTCACTATCGCGCTATGCGCCCTAGACGATAATGAAGAGTTGCGACTATTCGCGTGACTGAAACGACTGTCCTATGACGAGCGCTATTTGCTGACGTCATCCTACGGACTTATCTTATACAGTTGGATTCGACTCTATCTATCGATTTAACGACTTACAGAAATGTGAAGTATGAAATATACCACGACATAAGGAACCACTGATCCAAAGTCACATGTCAATAAAAGGGTACGTGCATGGAATGCACTTCTTTGTAGGGCATGTTGTGAGTCTTGAAATGTGTGAGATGAAGACATACAACTCAACTATTACACATGAATGACATTCAAAAGTCAAGCCTAACCATCATTGTACACCCGCTAGCTTGCTTAGTCGCTGGTATGCAAGCTCCTTGAGCCGTTTTCGGTCGAATGGGACGTATGCACAGATGGACTCATCGAGCCTGAACAAGGTAATGAAACAAGCACATGTCAAATGCAAGATGGTGAAGGCATAACTATGAAAAGTGCACAAAGCAGGCACATGACAGTGAGAGCACGATACGAAACCCACAACGGAAAGGAAGTGGGGTGTGAAAACTCAGGAAATATAGCGACAGGGGTGAAGTCGGAAGGTGCATAGAGTGTAGATGCTACTGTGTGACTTACACAAGTGCCGTAAGGTCAGGAAGCGATTCCATGAACTGATACAGCTCTGAGATGTCATACGTGATGTTCTTGACCCCAGGGTTCATCTCCTTCAGCCGCCGCTCAAACAGAGCACACAGCCCTGCGAGCCATGCATGCAGGGTAGGGAAATGGAGAATAGGTTGATGTTCTTGACTCCGCATTCATCTCCTTCAGTTGCCTCTCAAACAGAGCACAAAGCCCTGCGGGTCATGCATGCGGGGTACAGAAATGAAGAAGTTGATGTTCTTGACTGCTAGATTCATCTTCTCCAGCCGCCTCTCAAACAGCACACACTCCTGTAGGTAGAGGGGGGAAGCGGGGGAAGACGAGAAGGGGGAAGGGGGGAGGGGAAGGGCGGAGGGGGAGGGGAGAGGTGGGGAGGGCAAAAGGGAGGAGTCCAGTTGCAAATTATTAAGAATGACCACCCTCGTGTTATCCCCATACCCCCATGGTCATGGCCATTCTCATAACCCCACGGTCATGGCCATCCCCATACCCCCGTGGTCATGGCCATCCCCATACCCCCGTGGTCATGGCCATTCCCATACCCCCATGGCCATGGCCATCCCCATACCCCCATGGTCATGGCCATCCCCATACCATGACCCTCAATCCCTCGCTCTGGGAACCACCTTTAGCTTACAGCAATTGGGGGCGGTTACAGCTTCGGGGTTTGAGGTTCATTTGAAAGGTTTGGGCTTCGGGTGGCTGGGCTTATGGGCATCGTCTGCCGCACCCCTTGCTTCCCCTTCTTCGCTCAAACCATGTAACTTGTTAACGAGTCTTGGTGATTCTGCGCGTTCTAGATCCTAGCTTAATAAATCGGACCATCTGAACGAGAGCGGAATTGAGTACGAGAAAATGTACTACTGAGCGAGTGTATATACTGAGGGAGGGAAGAGAGGGGGGAAGAGAGGGAGGGAAGAGCGGTACCATCAATGGCTTCAGCTGTGGAGGGGTACTCGATATAAGTGCACGACGATTTCTGCGGCGCTGTTTGCAGCAGAAGAATGGTGTGTCCATTCTGATTGGTTGCGGACAACGGGGAGGAGCGTGGTACGATTTGGGTGGGGTGGTAGGGGATGGAAAAGGAAGAACGTTAAGGAAGGTGCGCGGAAGGGGGTGCATGGTTCAACGTAAGGGAGAGCAGGCATGACAGAAACCCTAACTGAGTAATACTCAAACTTGAGAGAAGATGCTATGACAGGTTGACGAAGAAATACGTCTTCGGAAACCCTAACTGAGTAGTACTCGCTGCCACGATTCACAGTGCGTCACGATTCACTTACGTCTCTAGAAACCACCAATTCAGCACGTCGAAAGAAGCTGGAACTTCTCAATAAAAATGAATAACTAACGCAGGCTTTACCATGTTTGCTGGTGATAAGCTATCACTTCTGGCTCGCGGTCAGCACGTCTTGAGGCGCCTCAAGACCCCACCTTCGACTCGATAGCGAGTTCCTACGGCTAGGCCAGGCCAGGCAAAAAATTAACAAGTACACGATGAACTAGGTCAACTTGCAACCGTACAGCTGCTTGTTTTGCGACAGTGTCTGTCACGTAGTCTAACGTAAAAAACCCGCCCAGCCAACGGCTCGATGCTAGCTGCTCGTCAGGGCAGTGTCTAATGATGTCATGTGCAATTACGACCTCGGCCCTCCTAACGCACTAAACCACGCACAAAGTCTAGAGGCAGGACTAGGAAATAGTTGAGTGAGCTGATTGGTCCCATGGATGCAACTGGGATGCAGGACTTACTTATTATCCCCGTTACAAAACACTTTGCTACAAATCAAATCTTTTAGTGTACTGGACATCTCAAGATTCAGAAACAACTTTCTCCAAACCTCCAAAACCGTGTCGCGGAAATGTGACCCCATGACAAAGCTGTCAGAGTGCCGAGGGAGTTTCATCATTCTCGAAGCGAGTCGTCAGCTTTCGTTATCACATGGTTACCTGCTCTCGATCGCAGAGCCCAGCAGGCGAACACTTCAAGAATCTCACCCTTTCACTTTGGCGCAATCTCAAAATGCGCGCGTCGCCTTGGCATTCCCTTGTGGCGGCTCGTCCCTCTGTGGCTGGCAGAGCATGCATTCCTGCGCTCTGGTGATTGACCAAGAGAATAGAGAACGCAGAAGTACGTTGGTTGATTCTGGCTGATTTTCTGGCATGAAAGAAAGAGGAGGCATTTCCTAGCATTCCTCCTCGGAAAAACTGCACTGCTAACACTGCGTCCATCGCCCTGCATAGTCGTCTCCACCTTTCTAGCTCTGCGAGTTCCTTAGATTGCACGCATGAGATACGTTTCGATCTTACCAGTGTTTTGGCAAATCGTTCATTTCTATCATATTTGACATCTGGACAGTTTTCTTAGCCACCGCGTTCCGCTTCTACTCCTTCGAGCCCGCCTCACGAACGAAAATAAGTGCACAGACACGCTAGGCATGGACCGACCAGAACGAACGAGAATGCATCTTCGCGCATTCTCTCCACCCATCGCCCTCCTCATCTCGCTCGTCGTCCTGGCCCCCTCGCACACTGTCGCAAATGCCCAAGCGACTTCGCTAGAAATCGAAGAGTTGAGTCCTTTCGAAACGATAGACAGCGCAGTTGATGCTGGATCGTTCGGACCGCACGTCGACCTCTCTTCTTCCGGAACCGCCGCCGGCGGCGGCCGCGGCGGAAGCGGCGTTGCAGCCAGCGGCCGGCCGCCCGTGCCTCGTGTGGCCCAGCTGCGGGGTGCGAGCGACGCGGTAGCTGAGGCGCAGGCGAGCAGCGGCGTCGCAGGCGACAACTCGCGCGTCGCACGGCTGTACCTCTTGTCGAAAAATACCTACCGTGCGAGATGCCTGGACGGCAGTCCTGCTGGTTACTACCTTCGACGCGGGTTCGGCAGCGGCGCTAGCAACTGGATCTTAATTCTCGAGGTAATTTTTGAGTCGACTCAAGGTGATTTTTGAGGTGATTTTTGAGTCGACTAAAAAATCACCTGGACGGCAGTCCTGCTGGTTGCTACCTTCGACGCGGGTTCGGCAGCGGCGCTAGCAACTGGATCTTAATTCTCGAGGCTAGTGAGCCTGAGCGCCTGAGGCAGTAGAGATCTGTTTACAAGTCGACTTTTAAATGCATTAGGGGGAGGAAGGGATTCTTACCGAATCCAGTGCGTGATTGCCGTAACGAGCCGTTCTTACGCACGTGTAGCATGACGCTAATTGCACGTTACAACTTTTCTGGTGCGTGTCCATGTCGCGTTTCATCATCTGCGTTTCATCTGCGCTGCCAGGCTGGCGGGTGGTGTTTCAACGCCAAGTCATGCGCGAACCGAGCCAAGGGACCCCTTGGGAGCTCCAAGCAATGGCCGCCCACCAGCGTACGTGTTCTCGACCTCGCCTTGTTGCCATATCACCACGCTCGACCTCGCCTTGTTGCCGTATCACCACTCTCGACCTCACATTGTTGCCATATCACCACTCTCGACCTCACATTGTTCACCACTCTCGACCTCGCCTTGTTGCCATATCACCACTCTCGACCTCACATTGTTGCCATATCAACCGAGGCCCTCCCGCATGCCCCACATCCCATCTCGCCTAGCGCCTGCAAGCCGACAGAACAGAATCCCCTGCCTGCTCTCCCCATTCTTGAGAATCCCCTGCTTGCCTGCGTTTTGAGAGTTATCAAGATTCACCTAACGCATGCCCCACGCCCCATCTCGGATAAGTCCTGCAAACCGCCAGAACATAATCCCCTGCCTTTTCACCCCATGCGTTCCACTCGTTTATAATTACTGGGAGCTACGACGCCTAGTTTTGAGGCGCCTCAAAACTAAACTACGACGCACCCGCATCCCCAGTCCCTTCGCAACTCCCGACTTTCCCGCGTTGACTGCCCTTCCCATCGCGCCCTTCCTTGCCCGCGAATTCCTCCCCCATCTCCCCTGTTGCGCCCTTCCACAGAACGTGCAGTACGGCGGGGTGGGCAGCACGGACAGCGCCGTGAACCCCGCGTTCCACAACTGGAACCTGGTGCTCGTGAAGTACTGCGACGGCAGCTCCTTCACCGGCGGCTACGGCAAGCTGCGCGCCAATGCGGAGACGGGGCGCGCACTGTACTTTCGAGGGCACTGGAACCTGCAGGGCACGCTGCAAGGTACAGTACTTGAAGACATTCAACCCAGCAACGGCTGCTAAAGCTGTTACTCTGTATTCCGGAATACGGACGCTGCACTTCAGAGGACACTAGAGGGGTCACAGGTCACGGGTCACAGGTCACGGGTCACGGGTCACGGGTCACAGGTCACAGGTCAAGTGACACGGGTCACGGGCTAAGGAAGTGCTGTACAGACACGGCTTTAGTGGATTACAGTCTCGCGAGATGGCTCCCTACCTGAAACTTGCACGTTCCCATAGCCACCCTTTTCCCCCCACCCCTTTCCACCGCCCAATACTCTCATCCCCAACCCTCTTCCCCCGCCCGCAAACCCTCCGACCCTCATTCCGCTTCCCAGTTCAACCATCTGGCTAGTGTTTCGGAAAAGACGGAGCAAAAAACGGAATGCCCCTCTTTCAGTGGCGACTCTCCCATGCAGACCTGTTGGCTCGGCACGGGCTGAATGTGGGCAAGCAGATGCTGGTGGGCGGATGCAGTGCATGAGGCGCTGCATTGCCGTGTCCGTGCCTGCCCTTTTCTTGCCTGCCCTTTCCGTGCCTGACCTTTCCGTGCCTGACCCTTTCTCTTGAGTCGCCGTGCCTTCTGTTCTTCCCCCTTGCCAACTCTTCCCATACAGACCTGTTGACCCGCCATGGCCTGAATGTCGGCAAGCAGATGCTGGTGGGCGGCTGCAGTGCGGGCGGCGTCGCCACGTCAATCAAGTGCGATCAGATCTCGAGGTGGATGGCAAACTACAATGTTACAACCAAGTGCTTCATGGATGGAGGCTACTTCCCAGGTAGGCTTCACTTCGGGTCGGCTCATTTGGAGGGTAGATATTTCAATTAAAATCACAATGTATTAAAATCACAATGTATTTCAAACTTGTTCAGGTTTCCTCCCCATTCAAATTTCACTAAAATCTACTCCCTCTGCTGCCCATTTCTCTCGTTGGTCCGGCATCAGATGTGGTGGATGAGGACGGCAAGTGGACCATGAGGCAGAAGGTGCAGCAGATGGCGGGCGTGCATGACATGGGACGCACAGGGTTCAATGCAGAGTGCAAGCGAGGTGAGCCTCGTCGTAGGGTGGGGTACTTGGGCCCAGGTTAGAGGCCCAGGTTAGGGTTCCATGTGCTGCGTGCGAGGTGCGGGGCAGGTGATGGCCGGCGTGCATGACATGGGACGCACAGGGTTCAATGCAGAGTGCAAGCGAGGTGAACCTCGCCCTAGGGTGGTTAGCTTGGGCCTATGTTAGGGCTCTCTGTGGGAGCTGCGGGGTGCTCTGCAGCTGATTGGCGGGCGTACATGACTAGGGACGCACAGGGTTCAGTGCGGAATGCATGGGAGGTGAGGCTGTCCATTTCACCCTTCCTAGCGTGCCGAAGCAACCTTGGTGATGCATATGTTATGTCCCCTTTCATCAGAACACTAGGTCCCCCTTTGTGGATCACACTCTGCCCATCTTTCTTCCTGCGTTCTCCACCTTTCCACTCTCACCACGCCCTGTGCAGCAATGAAGAAGACCAACGAGACATGGAAATGCTTTTTCCCAGAATACAACCTGCAGTTCGCACGCTCGCCGATGCTCATCGTCAACTCCTTGTCCGATTACAAAGCCATAAGTTTGACCCTCGCGCCCAGGCCTAAGGGGACCTCTGACCCGCTGCTCCGGTGCCTCCGATCCAGCTACCAAAGCTGCACCCCAGCCCAGGTGAAGCTGCTACAGTCCTTCTCCACTAAAATCAGCACATCCATAGGGAAGCTTGTGAAGATGAGGTCTGTCGAAAATGAGGGGATCCAGGCGTTTACGTTCTCGCAGTCTGCACACTGCGTGGTGGGAGAGGAGATGTGGCAGAAGGTACAGTCGACTGCCAAGGCATTCTCGTCTGTTCCACCCCCTTCTTCCTCGTCTCCGTCATCGCCTCCCTTGGCAACAAGTGGTGCTAATGGTGCACCTTTAGCCACGTCTTTCGTTAGCTGGTATCGTAGTTGAGAAGAGTGGTCTAGGCTTGTTTGGTTTGATGTAATTCGTAATTTATTGGCAGGTGGAGCACAGTTTGTGCTTTCCCTTTTCATACATAATTAGAGGATTTTGAGCCTTGAGAGCTGTATTTGGATGCATATATAGTCATGCAGAATGAAGTGGCAACCTTTTAGCGGGTGTACCACAGCTGCAGCATTCCACTTCAAACCGCCGAATTTACCATCCCCGCCGAGATTTCTCGAATGCGGTCTGCCCCAAGGCGAAACGCGAGAGGCTGCATGAGTGCAGTGGTCCCCACGCTAGCCACAACCCTCGAATGGCGAGCGATTTCACCACCAACTGTCGAATGGCGAGCCACTCCGCAGAACCCCAAGATTCTCGTTTTGCCCCCCGTCATGTCCGGGCAACACACACGCACCTCGTGTGTTCCAGAATCGGGTTTTGGAAAATGAGCCCTCACTTGCTGCCCTGGGTTTCCATCAGGCAAACATCTGCTCTGAATCCAGACCAGAACACACAGCGTGGGTCTGGGGGGGAGAAGAGAAGGCTAGGATGTCAGGCCTTGCCCCACGAATCGTCTCGT